AAGGGCTAGTAGTAGTAGTGAAACAGTTATTGTAGTAATAATAACAGTAATAGTTATGACAATAGTAATACAAGTAGAAGTAGTAACAGTAATCCTCATATAGTTCCCCCTCCGCCCCTCCGACCCCCCTCCGCACACATACAATAACGTGATAATTGCACCGCCACTTTTTACAGTGTTGTTAATAGAAACATCTTTAAATATATCCAGTAACTAATTTGTAAATACAGAGATTCTCGCAGATTGCTTCTGTACAGTAAGATTTGTTTCGGTGATAAATATCTATTACTGCCACACCTTCGCCGCCATTTTATGACCTTAATATTAAATATCCTAATACATAAGTAGCTATCCTAGCTGTGTTGAGTTAGTTGAGCCGCAGATCTATGCGGCATTCAGTGACTGTTGCCTCATAGTCAATATCTGCAGCTGTTGTCGGCTTTGGGGCCGATGCTCTCGTTCCCCTGAGGCAAAGTAATGCAGACCTAAGCAGAGAGAAGGACGACTGTAGGGAAAAAACAGGACAAAACCCCCCTTGGACAAAACCCCCCTTGGACAAAACCCCCTTTGACAAAACCCCCTAATTTAGAGTAAAAAAAATAGGACAAAAGCCCCCATTTTTTTCAGATTTTAAGTCCATTTTAATAAATTTAAACAGGTGAAGAACACCACGAAGACAGCTGCTTTGACCAACAGAGGCAGACCTGCTCATATCGTTACAGACCCCCCAGGACAAATACTAATAATAATTTTTAAATCATAATTTTATTCATTTTATTATTATAGTTTATGAACACTTCTCTGACATGTAAAATATCACATTTAATATATCATAGCACTAACCTAACCTAACCTAACCTAATCCCTTCGAAATAAGTGTGTTTTTGGTCCTACTTTACACTTTATTTGATGTGATTTTGTCCAAGGGGGTTTTGTCCGGACCCCAAGGACAGTCGACATCTCAACCAGAATACTACCACCACCACCACCACCACCACACACTACCAACTTGTACCACACCACCACATTAACCAGAATACACACTACCACCTGTACCACACCACCACATTAACCAGAATACACACTACCACCTGTACCACACCACCACATTAACCAGAATACACACTACCACCTGTACCACACCACCACATTAACCAGAATACACACTACCACCTGTACCACACCACCACATTAACCAGAATACACACTACCACCTGTACCACACCACCACATTAACCAGAATACACACTACCACCTGTACCACACCACCACATTAACCAGAATACACACTACCACCTGTACCACACCACCACATTAACCAGAATACACACTACCACCTGTACCACACCACCACATTAACCAGAATACACACTACCACCTGTACCACACCACCACATTAACCAGAATAAAAGGCTATATACCCTTACCAGATATATATATACTAACCATATAGTTGCTTTATATATATATACCCACAAGATCACTATACACCCTATATTCGTCCCTCAGGTAGAATATACGCTGGTGTATTTGTTCACATTAATAAAGGTTTAGAGAAATTCACCCGAAATACACCTCAAGTTTAATTAAAACCAGCGGCCACACCTACAGAATTGTGTGTGTTTAGATTTTCTCGAAAGCTCACGTGACGCGTTGTTTCGGGTGTTTGTGTGTTTGTTTGTGATGTAGAAATTGTGTTTGTTTGTGATAGATGGTGAGGGATAAATCCATAAAAGTATCTTAAGAGTAATGTTAGAGTGTGTAGCTTTTGTTGTGTAAACATGAAAAGGTGTGTGTGGGGGGGGCCTCGTACACCGCTGACATTGTTTGACCTGACTTGACCCATGATGGTTATGACTTATTCACCTGTAGCCAGAGAGGAACACCTCCCTCCCTCCCTCCCTCCCTCCCTCCTTCTTCCTCATTCACCATTTCCTCCCTCCCTCCACCTCCCTCTCTATTTCCTCCCTCCCTCCCCCCCTCCCTCCATCCTCTTCATTTTCTCCATCCCTCCATCTTTCTCTCCACCTTTCTCTCTTTCCTTACCTTCCTCCCTTCATCCACCCTCCTCTCCATTTCCTCCCTTTTCTCCACCTCCTTCTCCACTTCCTCTCTCCCTTCACCCCTTCCTGCCTTTCCTCCACCTACTTTACCCTCCCCAATCTCTCTCTCTCTCTCTCTCTCTCTCTCTCTCTCTCTCTCTCTCTCTCTCTCTCTCTCTCTCTCCCCGTTCTCACCCTCATTTCTCCTCCACCTCCTTTCCTATTTCCCTCCCTCATCCCTCTTCCCTCAGCCCCCCCAGCCCCCCTCCCTAGCTCCCAGCCCCACCCCCCCCAGCCCCCTCTAGCCCCCAGCCCCCTCAGCCCCCAGCCCCTCTAGCCCCAGCTTCCCTCTAGCCCCCTCTAGCCCCCAGCCCCTCTCAGTCAGCCCCTCAGGCCAGCCATCCACGGTCATGGTGATCAGTCAAGTGAGGTCCAGCCCTTAAAGGTCCCAAGCTAGCCTAACCATTGAGACTGGGCCCTTGTTTACACGGTGTCCTTGTTTACACGGCGTCCTTGTTTACACAGTGTCCTTGTTTACACGGGGTCCTTGTCTACAGGGGGCCTTGTTTACACGGCGTCCTTCTCTTCACAGGGCCCTTGCTTACACAGGGCCCTTGCTTACACAGGGCCCTTGGTTACACAGTGTCCTTGTTTACACGGGGTCCTTATTTACACGGGGTCCTTATTTACACGGGGTACTTGTTTATGCAGAGCCTATGTTTACACAGGGCCATTGATTACATGGGGTCTTTGTTTTCACTGGGACCATGTTCACATGAGGTCCTCTTCATAGGGTCTTTTATAACATAGGCCCATGTTTACACGGGGTCCTTGTATACACGGACCATATCCTGCCAGGTGCCCAGTCTTCATGGGGCCCTGTCTTAACCTGACCTAACCATTAAGGTTGACCCCCAGTCCTATCAGGCCCCGGTCCTCATTGTTAAATTGTTAGGTTGAGTCCTATCAGGGTCGAGTCTGACAACACCTATAACACTGTGTTAAAATGTGCCTTAGTGGGTAATATTTCTCACCACCTAAAGAATCTCCACTCCAGCTTGTTCCACCTAAAGATTAACCTAACCTAACCTAACCAAACCTAACGCTTACTTAACCTAACCTAACGCTTACTTTACCTAACCTAACCTAACCTAACCTAACCTAACCTAACCTAACCTAACCTAACGCTTACTTAACCTAACCTAAACTCCCAAATAATGTTAAGTAAAGTTAGGTTAATATTCAGGTAAAATAAGCTGGGGTAGAGTTTCTTCAGGTGATCCAACATTACTCGATCTGGACACTAAAGTTGATATGTTCAGGTAAGATCTTGCTAATTCTTCATAAAACTACTGTACTGATTCTTAAAAAACTCGTATATTAAATATTTTCCTCTTAAATTAAATCATCAACATTTTCTTTTGGTCATGTTTTACGGCTGTTGCATTGTGGGTATCAACAGTCCTGCTTATTAAAGTTACATAACGAATTGGCGATACAATCTTGCAACCAATGGAAACACGAGCACGGAAATGTTTCGATTCCTATTGGCAGCCAATTAAGAGGAATGAAAAAGAACACACGGTCATGAGAAGCCTTAGTTATCTCTAATTGGTGGTGGGGTCCTCTTGCTGTCCACCAATGACCGTTCGTCTAGCGAGGTGTGTCAGGACTTGTGATAGGCTGACGTCAAGAGAGAGAGAGAGAGAGAGAGAGAGAGAGAGAGAGAGAGTAAAGGTGTTGACTGTGAAGGTTCATTAGTGAGGGCAGGTAAGAAGTAGAAGACAATTAGCCAGGTGAGGTGTTGGCCCCAGGTAGATAGAACACCTTCAAGAAGTACCTCAGAGAATAATATCATAATTTCCTCTCTAAGACACACCTGTTTTCCTTCCTTCCTTCCTTCCTTCCTTCCTTCTTGCTGTTCTTAATTAATTTATTTTCTGTATGTGATCAAATACTCTCTCTCTCTCTCTCTCTCTCTCTCTCTCTCTCTCTCTCTCTCTCTCTCTCTCTCTCTCCCTCCACATAAACATTTCTCCCGGCGACATTTTTTTAAAACAATTTATGGCGGTTTTGATGTAAGTTAAAAGTCCTGCTTAATTAATTATTTTGTAATGGTGTCCGGTTGTTATTGAAGGTAGTTATCTATAAATAATTACCTGGATGTTTATATTTAAGTCATGGTTAATTATTATGTCAGTGTTCCCTTGTTAATGGTGGTAATTAATTATTGATCTAGTTATGTTAAAATTATAGTTACTTTTCCATGTTAAAATTATAGTTACTTTTCCATGTTAAAATTATAGTTACTTTCCATGTTAAAATTATAGTTACTTTTCCATGTTAAAATTATAGTTACTTTTCCATGTTAAAATTATAGTTACTTTTCCATGTTAAAATTATAGTTACTTTCCATGTTAATATTATAGTTACTTTTCCATGTTAAAATTATAGTTACTTTTCCATGTTAAAATTATAGTTACTTTCCATGTTAATATTATAGTTACTTTTCCATGTTAAAATTATAGTTACTTTTCCATGTTAAAATTATAGTTACTTTCCATGTTAATATTATAGTTACTTTTCCATGTTAAAATTATAGTTACTTTTCCATGTTAAAATTATAGTTACTTTCCATGTTAATATATTATTCTGTTACTCTGTTTAATATAATTAGTCTATGTTCCTTGGTAGCGTAATGTTAGTAATTATTTATCTGTTTCATTGAACTTGTAATCTATTGTTTACTTAGTTATTCCTATTTCTCTTTTTCTTTTCCATTAACAATTCCCGTTTTCTTTAATAGTTACATATGCCGTTTTCTTTAATAGTTACATATGCCGTTTTCTTTAATAGTTACATATGCCGTTTTCTTTAATAGTTACATATGCCGTTTTCCTTAATAGTTACATATGCCGTTTTCTTTATCAGTAATAACTCTATTTTCTCCACCCACAGAAACTACCAGTGTTGACCAATAAGAGCAACTCCTCATCTCGGGTGAACCTTCCCCACGATAGCTCCTCCAGGACCGGCCACAACCATACTGACAGCGATACAGGAGGAGGAAGCGGTAGGAATAGAGAAGGAGGAAGTGGAGGAGGAGGAGGAAGCACAGGAGGAGGCCAGGGTGGTGCTGGGTCTCTGCCAGTACTCAACAACAATAAGGGCGAGATCAGTAATGACTCACCCAGACAGACGAGACTTAACTCCAGCAGTCATAAGACCTCTGGTTATACCCCCACCTCCACCAACACTCGACCCTCCAACACTAGCGACGGTCATACTCTTCCTCTCTCCCCTCAAGGTGAGATAATAGTAGTAGTAGTAGTAGTAGTAGTAGTAGTAGTAGTAGTAGTAAAATGTTTGTAGAAGTAATCGGAATAGTAGTTATATCATTAATATTATTACCAATCAAAATTCCTATCCAAAACATTAACACACACCCAGACAGAGACTCAGGCAGCCACGCAACAGACAGACAAAGATATCACATAGATGGCTTCACTCCCCACACAGACAGGGGGGGAGGGGGGGGTAATTGAGTGAAAGCCAGAGAGGAGAGTGAGGGTGATAGCCAAGGAGGAGAGAGGAGAGTGAGGGTGACAGCCAGGAGAGGAGAGAGAGGGAGAGAGGGTGACAGCTAGGAGGAGAGTGGAGGTGACAGCCAGAGAGGAGAGAGGAGAGTGAGGTGACAGCCAGAGGAGAGAGAGAGTGAGGGACAGCCTGAGAGGAGAGAGGAGAGTGAGGGTGACAGCCAAGGAGAGGAGAGAGAGGAGAGTGAGGGTGACAGCCAGAGAGGAGAGAGGAGAGTGAGGGTGACAGCCAAGGAGGAGAGAGGAGAGTGAGGGTGACAGCCAGAGAGGAGAGATGAGAGTGAGGGTGACAGCCTGAGAGGGAGAGAGGAGAGTGCCACTGACAGCCTATTAATGAAGAGAGAGACAGGAGGGGGAGGAAGTGTTGGTGGTGGTAATTGTAAGTGACAGGACTGATGGATGAATGAAGTGACAACAACAATGGATGGATGAAGTGAAGTGACGGAAGTGTTGACGAATGAAGTCACAGGAGAGATGAATGAACGTAGAAAATAATATAATGGTACGGAAATAAATGAACTTTTTTCTATGGCAATACACGAAACGAAAACAACTGAAAATTAACCTAAAATCCCATCAATTACCTTGACCTTTGACCTAATGACCCCCAAAATGAATAGGAACCTTCCTCTCCCTATGGACAAGTTACTCAAAATCAATAGGGTCTTTCCTCTACCTATGGGCAAGTTACCTATGCAATATCATGTTCATTAGTGTGTAGATACTCAAGTTATGGTCTGGACACCAAAAAATACAACAACAACAACAACAACGATAATTCCACCAACAAGAGGCCAAAGGTGGTAAAAGGGAAATAGGGGCAGAGAAATAAGAGAAGGAATTGGGAAAATTAAATAAAAAAGTGAGTAAATGGTAGAAATTAAATAAAAAGAGTAAATTGGGTAAGTAGAGACAAAATAGTTAAATTTTTGATAAATAGGAAAATGTTTAAGTTAAGGAAAATAAAAATAGATACAAAAAATTGCCACAACACAGACTGACAAAAAACAAACAAACAAACAAACACGCAAATGATTTATCCTCAGGCTTCAGAGCAACTTTTTGAAACACTGTTGCAATGTTTACGCCACAGCTAAGAATAGTCGCCGGGGCATACAGTGTTCGTGTTACCTGTCCTTGTGTCGACCTGTCCATCCGTCTGTCCTGAGAGTTTATTGTCCATGCTATATCATCCGTCATAGCTTAGCTTAGGTTAGGTTAGGTTAGTCTAGGCTAAGCTACGTTAAGTTTCTCATCACTCAAAAAAATACCAATTAGTTACCAGGTCAGTGGGTGACAGGTCAAAGGTCACTAGATTTAATTTCTTGGAGGTCATGCCATTATAACAACCTCAGGAAGTGGTATATTGCCTCTTACTCTGGATCACATGAAGAGTAGTACCTTAGCCAGGTTATTTCACCTGATGATTAACTACTCTAATGCTACCTGGGAGGATTCAGTTAAGTTAAATTTAGGTTAGCGTTACGTCAGGTTAGGTTAGGTCATGTCAGGTTTGGTTAAAGTGGTTAGGTCACGTCAGGTCAGGTCAGGTCAGGTTAGGTTAAAGTGGTTAGGTTAGGTCAGGTCAGGTCAGGTTAGGTTAAAGTGGTTAGGTCACGTCAGGTCAGGTCAGGTTAAAGTGGTTAGGTTAGGTCAGGTTAGGTTAAAGTGGTTAGGTCACGTCAGGTCAGGTCAGGTTAAAGTGGTTAGGTCAAGTCAGATCAGGTTAAAGTGGTTAATCTTCTTGTGATCCTATACCTGTTTATTCACAAACCACCCGATGATAATCCAGAATACAGTGTGTCGTCCATTACAGGGTGTCGTCCAATACAGGATCTCGTCCAATACAGGGTGTCGTCCAATACAGGGTGTCGTCCAATACAGGGTGTCGTCCAATACAGGGTGTCGTCCATTACAGGGTGTCGTCCAATACAGGATCTCGTCCAATACAGTGTGTCGTCCAATACAGGGTGTCGTCCATTACAGGGTGTGTCGTCCAATCAGTGTCTGTCGTCCAGTACGTCGTGTCGTCCAATACAGGTGTGTGTCGTCCCCACCACAGGTGTCGTCCATACAGGTGTCGTCCAGTGTCGCAGTAATTGTTCCAATAGGTGTCCCAATACAGGGTGTCGTCCAATACAGGGTGTGTCAGAAAATGTAAAGACACACTGCCTGACAGATGTTAGTATAGATCGTGTGACTGTTTGTATCACAAGAGCAACATTGACCTCACTTGTTGGTGATCGAGGTCTCTTACAGGTGATGACAATAATGTTGCTATACAAACATTCACACAGTCTCTACGGAAATCTGTAAGGCCGTGTGTTTACATTTCTCTACACACCCTGTGGACGACCCTGCCGCAGACGACACGGTATTGGCGACGACACACTGTATTCTGTGATGGACGACACACTGTATTGACGACACCCCTGTATTGACGACACCCTGTATTGGACGACACCTGTATTGGACGACACCCTGTATTGGACGACACCCTGTATTGGACGACACACTGTATTGGACGACACACTGTATTGGACGACACACTGTATTGACGACACGACGACACTGTATTGGACGACATTGGACGACACCTGTATTGGGACGACACCCTGTATTGGACGACACACTGTATTGGACGACACCCTGTACTGGACGAGTTAGTTTGGAGAAAAGAGAAAAGTCATGATTTAATTTACCTTGGCTATTGTAACTTTTACCTTCATTACTGTATGTGTGTGTGTGTGTGTGTGTGTGTGTGTGTGTGTGTGTGTGCGTGTGTGTGTGTGCGTGTGTGTGCGTGTCATGAAAAATGCATTTCAATAACACTTCTATATAAGGGACTTCTCTCTGTCTATGTAGTAAGTTAAATAGATATGACTGTAGACATGTAGGTAGAAGGAGAGGGAGAATAGGGAGAAAGAGAGAGAAAGACAAGAGAGAAAAGGCAGAAAAGGTAAGAAAGATAGAGAGACAGACAGACAGACAGACAGATAGACAGGCAACGAAAAGTAGGTCATATCTCATTTGCATGGCTTGGAATTTACATACCTCCAGTTGAATCCACGTCTCACATACAAGACAGAGAGAGACAGACAGACAGAGAACCAGCCAGTCAGCCAGACACAGACAGACATATAGACAGTGGGACAGACAGATAGACAGGGATAGACATACATACAGATACCAAGCGAGATATATATGAAAACACACACAGGGTAATTTGATTTTGGTTTTGCTGGAGGGAGACGGTGGCTGGGGGATGACGGACAGAGTGGGGTAGGTGGATCAATACTAGGTGGGCCTCTTCCCCCCTCCCTCTCTCCCTCTCTCTCCCCTTCTTCCCTCCTCCTCCTCTCCTCCCCTCCCCTCTCCCTTCTTCCTTCTCCTCCCTCCCTCTCCCTTCTTCCTCCTCCTCCCCCCCTCCCTTTTAACCTACTTTACCTTGTCACACTACTGGCCTAGTTACCAGTTACCTTAGTTATTCACCAGTCAGTATCTCCTCACCCAGGTCCTGTTGGTCCTGTCTCCCTCACCAGTCCTGTCTCCTCACCCAGGTCCTGTCTGCCCAGGTCCTGCCCCCTGCCCAGGTCCTGTTTCCACCCAGGTCCTGTCTCTGCCCAGTCCTGCCCAGGTCCTGTCCTGTTCCCCCCCAGGTCCTGTCTGCCCAGGTCCTGTCTCCCCGCCCAGGTCCTGTCTCCCTGCCCAGGTCCTGTCTCCCCGCCCAGGTCCTGTCCCTGGTCGCCCAGGTCCCTCCTCACCCAGGTCCTGTCTCCTCGCCCAGGTCCTGTCTCCCTGCCCAGGTCCTGTCTCCTGCCCAGGTCCTGTCTCCTCACCCAGGTCCTGTCTCCCCTCCTCCTGCCCAGGTCCTGTGCCCTTCCCTCACCCAGGTCCTGTCTCCCCACCCAGGTCCTGTCCTCTCCAGGTCCTGCCCAGGTCCTGCGCCCAGGTCACTCCAGGTCCTCCCCCTGCCCAGGTCCTGTCTCCCTCGCCCAGGTCCTCCCTCACCCAGGTCCTGCCCAGGTCCTGTCCCTGCCCAGGTCCTGTCTCCTCCTGTCCTGTCTCCTCGCCCAGGTCCTGTCTCTCCCCTGCCCAGGTCCTGTCTCCCTGCCCAGGTCCTGTCTCCCTCGCCCAGGTCCTGTCTCCCTCACCCAGGTCCTGTCTCCCTGCCCAGGTCCTGTCTCCCCACTGTGTTCTCTCTCTCTCTCTCTCTCTCTCTCTCTCTCTCTCTCTGTGTGTGTGTGTGTGTGTGTGTGTGTGTGTGTGTGTGTGTGTGTGTGTGTGTGTGCGTGTTACATCCCTTACCTCAGTGTTTGATGTTTGTTACTGCCAGCCTCCAGCCTCCCTTACTCACACCTTCCCTACCTCTCCCTTAGCCTCCTTACTCTCACACCTTTCCTTTCTCCCTTACTATCACTCTCTACCTCCCTTAGCCCCTTGCCCACTCTCCTCCCTCCATTAGCCTCCCTTACCTCTCCCTAGCCTCCCTTGCTCTCACACACTCCCTTATTCTCCCTTAGCCTCCCCTTGCTCTCACCCCCACCTCCCATACCCTTTCGTTACCTTCCCTTAGCCTCCATACTCTCACATTCTCCCTACCCTCCTACCTCACCGTACCTACCTCCTTACCTCCCTCACACCTCCCTACCCCATCTTAGGCTCCCCTACTCACCTCCCCACCCTCCTTACTCTTACACTCTCCCTACCT